ATAATATATAAAATGATCTCGTGGGCCGGATATAATTACACGCCGGGCTGGATGTGGCCCGCGGGCCTTGAGTTTGACACATATGCTTTAGTTGTACCTTGAGCTGAATACAAAAGTATGGGATGCATTTATCTCATTCTCTAGTAAAGGTTCCATTAGACATTATTGCTTGGACCAGAAATACAGTCAGTTTTTCTATGTATTACACAGACCAGTAGATCAACTTGTTTGGTCATATATATAACAGTGGGGAGTGTATATTTTAGGATATCCTTAGGATCACAGTGTTTTTGATTACATGGTGCTTGCCCCTTTTCCCACACTCCATAGATAATGGTCTGAATTTTGCAGCTCAACTAAGTTGGCTCCTGTTCAGTGCAGAAAACTCAGACCAAAGGATCTCCTAAAGATAGCTCTCTTTTCTCTGCTTGAGGACCTATGTCCCATTCCAAGAAATTTCTCTGCTACTGAACTAATCTTAGGTATGCCCACACCATCATTTTGTACCGCTTTGTGATCAATGCTGGATCTTATTAAACTTGTACCATCATATGTCTCCCTGAGTTGACTTGATTTGTTCTGGTGTTTTGGAAATCACTGCAAAGCTGGTATTTTCCTTTGAATTGCTGTGGTCCTGCAGACACTATGAATGGTCTTTTTTCCCATTCAAAGGAATTACCCCCATTTTCCAGTCATGGGCAATTTCTTTCTCTTTATCTCTCCCCACTCCCACCCTGATAGATTTAGTGTCCTGTTTCTGGAAATGGTCTTGTCTCTTTCTGTAAGCATTGTGTAGAACTTATCAAGATGTAACTATGGTCACAGCTATTGAACAAAATACTCTACCCAGTTGAAAAAGGGGCATCATGCTAGTATTTCACCCATATATTTCATAGGGTTTTTAAAATGTAATAGAGGAATGGCTGCAAAACAGCTGAAAAACCTTTGAGAGAGTTCACTCAGGGACAACTGTTGGGGGCGAGGTTTGTAAAACATGTCAAGATGGCAGCCAGGATTACATGATTAAGGCCCTGCCCCCTTTTATGTGTGTAATGCATGCAAGATGCATAAAAAGGAGATGAGGCTTCAATTAATGAGTTGCAGCCCTGATCATGACTTTTTGCCTCTCCAAGTGCCCCGATTTCCCATTTTTTCCCCCCATTTTTTCCTACCAACCTTCCCTTGCAAACCTTTCCCTCATAGCAAAAAACTGTCAAAACCTTTTGCAGTCCATTAGATAATTGTATAGAAATACATGTACTGAAAAAATGTGGATGTGAGGGAGTGACAGTAATTTTCTTTATATATGAAATGGGGTTAAGGGGATTTATGCTAGTCCCAATGTGCAGTACAGTACAACAGCAGAACAATGTTTGTTGTTTTCTTCGGATGGTCAGCTGGAGGAAAAGCATGGATTGGCTGATTGGTATTTTCCTTGAATTCTCTTCTTAAGATTGGCAGACAAACACTATTGTGGGCCTGATTCCAGTTGCTTTCTGAGGAACTGGGGAGAAGAGCTCTGGGGGTGTGAAACTGTTGTTACTGTCCAGAAGCTTTTTTTAAATCTTCAGTTGAAAATAACCCTCCTGAAATTTAATGCATAGGTATTCCTTGCTTAATGGCTGCCCTGTTTAGCAACTGTTCAAAGTTATGACAGGGCTGAAAAAGTAACTTTGCAACCAGTCCTTGCACTTATGATGTTGCAGTGTTCCTGTGCTCATGTGATCAAGATTTGGGCATTTCGCACCTGGCGGGCATTTATGACCATTGCAGCATCCTGGGGCCACGTAATTGCCATTTGCGTGCTTCACAGCTGGCTTCCGACAAGCAGAGTAAATGGAGAAGCCGGCAGTAAAATCACAAGTCACGGTCATGTGATGTTTTGCTTAATGACCACATTGCTTAGTGATGGAGTTTCTGGTCCCAATTACGGTTCTTAAGCAAGGTCTTTAGCATTGCAATAGCAGAAAATAAATGGTTACTGTCTCTCTTTGGATATACTGTACGAAGAATGCTCTTTTATCCCCTCTCTATCTTCACTTCTCCAGTTAAACATGCTCATCTCCTTCAACCATTTTTTACATTGCTGATCATCTTTGTGGCTTACCTCTATATTATTTTTGTGACATAAGAAGAATATAGAGGTCCCAGAATGAGAGACAGCATTCCAGATGATTCTTGCAGAATAAAGTAAATTTAGGATATCATTTCTTATAACTTGGAAGCCATAGTTCTAAATCTGCAGTATGGAAGCATTTATTTCTTTATTTGCAACTAACTGGCACTGCTAACTGGATATCGCAAGGATATCTCCTGGGAAAAAAATGCATTACAAGAGACACTATACTTCTATTTATGCTCTGGAGTGCTGATTTAGAGCAAAAGGCAGCTCCAGCATGGCTTTTTCTTAAGCTGTCCTGCATCCACCCATCCTATGCCAACATATTACCTTCCATTTCAAGGTGTCCTGCACTGTGTACCGTATCTGATATACCATGTGCTCAGCTATCTCTTCCAGTGGGGAGGCCCACTCCAGTCTTAGTATATCTCTGTCTACCGAAGCCTGCAGGATTCTTGGGCGATCAGTGTGCACTATAACAGGAGAAAGGGAGAGAGAGGTGGCTGGTTAAGTCAGCTCAGCTTCTTGGAGAAGCAGAGGTCCACTGCAATATTAATAGTATTACGTCTCTCCTAGTGCTGCTGCTCTTCGATGCTAGACCATCTCAGGACAGCTCATTCTTTGGGGCTGAAAGTCCTGATGGTGCTGAGGCCTAGAGATATGGAAGTTTCTTACCTACGTGGTACAGTTTGAATGGCTCTTCAAAATAGCTGACCTCTTGCTCACCCTGGCTGATAGTCACCAGGATAGAAAGGTAATTGGTGTTACTGGGTTGGAAGGTGCATGTGCAGGAAAAAGGGTCTTCCTTCTTACATTTATGCCAGGCTTGCCCTCTGAAAATTAAAATAGAAGATAGAGTCATAGTATGCTGAGTTGTCTGCTAGAACTACCCGAGGTTGCCTTTTAAACACAATTTTTAAATTATCATCAACACTAACATTTTCCTTGACAATTAGTACCCCCAAGTTTTGTTTAAACTTACCCTTCAATTTAGGGGATTTTGCTAATCATATTGGAATGAATATGATTAGCGAGATCCCTTAAATTGTAAAATTTTTTAAAAAGCACCTCTCTCTCTCTCTCTCCCTCCATCAATCATCCCTAATGCATAATAATGTTGAAGAGCCATCATCAACTTCTATTGATTGAAATATACCATTTGAAATAAAGGCTCTGTGAAGATTATGTATTACCAGGGCCAAGATACAGAAATGACAGATGAAGCTCACATGTTACAGTGTACCCCCCTCCTAAACTATGGCAGTCTGAGACTTGGGATTTGGAAACTTAAACGTTAAAGAGGTACAGTTGTTGTAAGTGGCACAAAGTGAGTCACTGTCAAGCAACCAAGAAGCAGGACTGATGTGATAGTATTTTTAACTGTTGTACTAGAACTGAAGAAACTTAGGTTAAAATTGCCACTCAGTCCTGAAACTCTTACAGTGACCTTCGGTCAGTCTCTTCATCTCAGCCTAACCTATTTCCCAGGGTTGCTGCTGTTAAGAAGGTAGCTTAGATAGGGGAACTATCTATGCCACCCAAGCAATCTGAAAGTAGGATGGGATGTGGATTAAGTAACTAAATAGTAACCTTGTTTGTATCTCTGGAAGTGTACTTCCTCAAATATGGCTCAGAGAAATGCCTACATATGGATGTGAAAATTGAAGGGGAGGAAGGATGCTACTTGGAGTGGCACCTGAAACAGGAGCAAAAACCCAAATGATGGGACAAGACAGGAAGGAGAGGACCTTGTACTGTTCACTTGCCCATCTCGTCACCTTGTACTGCTGCTGTTGCCTTCCATCCAGTACAAGAGGCTGTGAAAGGGGCCGGAACCCATGAGCTTCTTGTCCCACTGACAGTGCAGTTGATGCAAGTCTGGAGTGAAGCAGTGCAGACCAATTACCTCTGTCCAGGGGAGAGAATAGATTTAGAACAATTTGACAGCAACCTTTTCAGTATTATTCTGTGTCCCACACGCTAAGTCTAAGTTATTTGATGCATATACAATATCTATCCTGTCTTTGCAGGCAGTAGCCAACCCACAGTGATATCTTCTAGAAGTTCTGTGTCACTGAACTAAACTCCCCATATCTCCCCCCATTGCTCACACTGGGTAAGGCTGCTTGGGACTGTAGCTCCGAAACATCTGTAGAGCTGTGGCTATCTATCCCAAAGCAGTCTTTGATGCTTTTCAGAGCTTCTATTGCATGCTCCAACTCCTTCCCCAAATTGGATTTCTGACACTTGAAAACCTCTTTTCATGAATTTATTATTTATTATAAAATGTGGAAAAAAATCTTCATTAATACGAAAAATGGTTATAGTTGGATTTTTTTATTTTTATTTTTTGCTGTGCCCTGGAAGCAAAGCTCTTTTTGGAAAAGAAAGGACCAACCTGCATTTTGTAGAAAGCTGGGGTGGATCCAGATGGAAGATTCCTAGTGCCACCAATCAAAAGGCGTTGGCAGCTTTTCTAATTTTTTCCTCACTTTTTTTGTGTATGTGTGGGAAAAAAGGAGTCAGAAGATGCAGAAGGAAAGCACGGATTTTAAAGTGAAAGATAATAAGAGGCTTCTCATAAAATTCCATAAATGAGGCATGACAAATTTAGAAAAATGTACAGACATACAATACACTTAACTGGGTCGGGGAAGGGAATTAATTCTTAGATCAAAGGACCAACTAGTGCCTATGGAATCAGGTTCAGCCCAAACCAGAGTCAGTCTTCCATCCCATTACCATGCTTGAAGGAGCACAAAACTTACTCAACTGCTCCATTTTGCCTACCTCTCTCTCCAAGAAAAAGAACTGGAGAGACAAAATGACAAAAAAATTACTGCCACAATCTGGTAGCACAAAACATATCCCTAAACACTGATTAGCTGTGTTATTCAAACTGTGCCAACTGCTGTCTGCTTGCCCTGGACAGTGGAAAAGGGGCTGGTGATGTCATGAAATCTGCTAAGTGCTCTCCTGGCACAAGGGCTCATGGGATACCAGTCACGTTCTTGAGAAGCAGGCAATATTCTGAACAAGTGCCTTTTGATTCAGTTAGTGTGATTGTGTGTTGCTAGGATCATTATGAGGAAATTTGACTGAATTAATGACTGACTGGGTCAAGTGTGTTATGCTAGCAAAGCTGTTAGGAAGAAAATACCCCAAATTCTGAGCAGTGAAGCAAATGATGAGCAGGAAGACATGCAGGAACTAATGGAAAGAGAAGGTAATTAGTCCTTATGCCCTGGTTGTTTTTGTCCTCCATATGCTCTCCAGTACTCTTAATCATGCCCACACAGCCTAACAAACTCCAGAACTGAAAGGTAAACATCCATGCCTCTCTGTTTGTCTCTAGCAGAGACTGTCATGCAGTGTCTAGAAACTATAGCACTCCCAGTCTTCCATCCCATCACCATGTTTACCACCATTCAAAAGAGATAATAGAAGAACTAAGAAGGAAACAAGAGACCAGAACACATCTTCTCCATCAGCCTATACCCAGATAAGCAAGGATCAACACCAGACAAACAATCAAGCAGAAAACAATACCTAATCAAGGAACAACCAAGGAGAAAATCACACCCCACCAGCATTGGCAGGGCAAGCTAATGTATATAAACAGGGAGCAAACCCCACACTCACCAGCACTGATGATGTTACCTAATCAAGTAATGAAACGTCTGCAGCCAAATAACCAAGCTCAGAGAGCACCAAGGACTCCATAGTTCAACCCTGAGCTACATATATTCTCTTCTATTGGAATTTCATTTATTTTAAATTTTCATTGTGCAATAGTAATATTGATCCAGTATCATTGTACCAATTGTAGTACCTGGGTACCCTGCTTCTACCTAGAAATGTTGCATCCTTCCGTGCTATTGCCCTAAGGTTGCACCATTGAGAATTCCTGACAGCCACTTCCTAGCCAACAGGCCACTCACCAGGAAGATGTGGTGTTTCTCCTATCACTGCTGGAGACCAGAGTCCCCAGATGCCATCAAGAGAGAGGCCATCGGGCTTGGTGCGGACTTGGATGTGGTACTGCTGCCCTGGGAGTAGATTCTTGAGCTGGCACATGTAGCTGTTTTTCACTTCAATCTATAAAAAATTAGAATAGGACTATACAGTTTCTTAAATTAGACCATTTTTACTTAGAAATAATAGAACAAAAATAACCTGCAGCCCTTATACCGAAGCCATTTTTCCCTATATTAACCATACCCTGAGTGGTGGCTGCATGGAATCCTTGGCACCATAACGAACTTCATAAATCAAGAAGTCTGCATAGTCGATAGATGGGGGCATCCAATTTACAAGCAACTGTTGTGCAATCCCAGGCCACATAGCTGTTATATTTGTTGGTGGAGCAATGAGACCTTAACAACAACAAAAAAGCAAAACAAAAATTAAAGCTCTTGCATATCTCTATGCTATTCGTGTGATGACTGAACAGAAAATAACGGCCCTTCTAGATTGAATAGAAGGCAATCTAATTAATATATTTAGCATTCCAATTTGCTAGAGGAGAAATTGGGAACGTCTGTAATAATGCACTTGTACTTCCTTTAGAATTGCTTCAATGAGATGGGCGGTGACAAATTCGACAAACAAACAAATAAATAAATAAATAAACTTGTTTAGGAGCACTTATAAGGAAAGAGCAGATGCCATTCACAATCCATCAGTACCAGAAACCTACCTATAGTCTTCCTATTTGCAGTGTGTATCTGTGCTGTCTCGAAGTTTGCATATATGCTTGTAATTAAATAAGCCTTGTGACTAAACTATCATGAATCTCCAACCTGTAGACCAGATGCACTGCTTCTATCAAGCTTCTCCATCTGGCCTGCTAAGACTTAGGTAAAGCACCACTCCCATCCCATTTTTTTGTTTCTCAGCATCTTCATGCACAAACAAACCTGGAGTAATTTGGCAATAGAAGAAAAAACTTGGTTTCTTCCTCCACTGCTAGATCATTGCTACTGGGATTTCATGGAGGGGAAAGGTTTCAAGAGGAGAAAAGAGTTATTCATAACACATTCTGGTTCCTAGAAATACCCCAGAGGGCAATCAAGTAGTGATTGCTATCTAACAAATGGTTTTAATTCCAACTAAACTAAGGATACCCCTTCATGGATCACTGCCTTGTCGTGACGGAGGGGCTTGCGTAACTCAGTGAAGCCATGAGCTATACCGTGCAGGG